GCCCGAGGCCGACGTAGTCGGCGAAGTTGGCGACGTTGTTTCGCCCTTCGGCGAGAAGCCGGCCGTCGGGTGGTCCTGCGACGAGAAGCTCAGGTTGCTCGACTGCTCACTGGCCCCATAGCAGAGCTGTCTGAGACGTCGCTGCTCCTCGGAGAGGCGGCCGATAGACTCCATCAGAGCCGCCTGGAACCGATCGGCTTCGCTCAGACTGAAGGACAACAGGCCCGGGCCGCCGTCGCACCGACTGCCCAGGATCAGGCAGAACTGGCCGGTGTGGAGGCCGAATCTGCACGTAAACAGACAGACATGCTCATGTCACGACGGTCTGGCCCATCAAACGGTTCAACATGCAGCAGACAACGGTGCATCGCCAGGCTTGGATACGGCCAGCACGACTTTAGAGCTGGAAGTCACTTTAATTAATGACGTGGAGAGCCTTCTGGCGAAAAGTGGGATTTCTCAGGCTCCCTGAATAAGCGAATGTGAGCCAACTTATCAGTTTAAAGAAAAGTTTGGTTGGCAGGAAGGATTGTGCGAAAATGCCATCGGCTCATAGTCCTGCTGAGACGAACAGCTCGCTTAAGGGGGATCAACTGGAAACCTATTGTTCGTATGAAAGTAGAGTTTCATGACTATGAGTAAATCAGTAGTATGAGATGTATTCATCCAATTTCGTTTAAGGTGATGAACGACTGGTAGAAGAAGAATTTTCCAACAATGATATGAGCTGAGCTGACATTTTCATTCAATTTCACATAGTCCTTCATCACCCTAAACGAAATTTGGTGAATACATCTCATATTACTGATTTACTGGTAGTCACGACACTCTATTTACATACGAAAAATAAGTAACTTAGTCGATTTTTATAGCAAATACACATCGACAATCCCACCAAAAGAATGTGATATGGAAAAGGGCCTGGTCTTCCTTAAAATTAACATCTACTCTGTGACCCAAGGCTAATCGTGGCAATGTGGTCGAGTTGTTGACGTGTCAAACTCACATTCTGCACTGTCACGGTTCGACTCCCGCTGGGGGTGTTGATACAACCAACGCGAGGTCGAAACTGCCGTCCACTGGTGCCTGGATGAGAACAACTTTTGGGAAAGCCAATGGAAACGTCAGCTCTACACATACCATTGCGTACTCAATTACCTCAGACACCCTAGGCCAACTAGAAGCATTATTTAAGTTTATTTATAGTTTTAAAACCTACTCTAAACAAATACCAATGCAATGAGTTAATAAACGTGGCCGGATGCAATTATCTTCACACTTTGTACCTAATTTTTCGATATAAATGAAGCATTTCATGATTATTCGTTTGTAAGTCGGTTTTCGAGACTACCGGCCAGTAAATAAGCCATATGAGATGTGTTCAGCCTATTTCATTTTAAGCTGATGAGAGAGTGGTAGCTGAATTTTCACACAATCATTTAGTTTCACATAGCCTTGCCTCCCAAAAGGTACTCTCATCCCAAACGGAGTCGAGTGCGATTTCGACCTGGTCTGAACTAGTCCCATCAGCACTCCTGGTGGGACTCGAAACAAGATACTGCAGTGTATAATCTCGAAATGTTAACCCCTACGCCACATTACCACGAGTTCCATGTGGTCATAGGTCAGTTGTGAATTTCAAAAAAGCTAGGCGTTTTCCCTTATCACTTTATGTGGTAGAGTTGTCGATGGGGAAAAGTTATGTTTGCTATGGCAATCACATATTTTTCGTTTTAAATAAGCTTTCAAGATATGCTCATCCTATTTAGTTTCAAGCTGATGAAGGACTGGTAGGTGGATTATTTCACAATGATATTAGTAGGTATTAGATTTATATTTAAGTTCATATATCTTATTTACTGGCAGTCTCTAAAATCTACTTACAAACTAAAAAATAAGTAGTGCAGGCGATTGCTATAGCATATGAAGCTTTGCTTTATCGAAGATTTTACCACAGAATGTGATATGGGAAAATGACCGGCCTTCTTTGAAATTCACATCTGCCCTATGGCCCAAGGGCAATGTGGCGTAGCGATTGACGCATCGAGATTAGACGCTGCACTGAAATGGCTCGATTTCCGATGGGGACCAAGG